TCTGCCTCGTGTTCCAAATGGCGAATAATTCAAAATGAAATAAGGATTTCCGTAAATGAACAGATATATGTTATTAACATTTTATAAAAATTATATAATAATTTATAACATTATGTACTAATTAAAGCAAATATAAATATATAAAATATTATTTATTGTCCTTTAAATATAACAATTTTTGTCAACGTGTGTCGAATGAAAAATTATGTTTATTTCTTATTTCATACGCTCCGAAGAACTGATATGCACTGATCAATCACTCATGTTTCAATGACATCACATATTTTAGTTCGTGGGACATGGTAGCGCCTCTGTCCAAATTAATGTTGACGTCATGAGTGAAGTGAGCTACTAATGTTGGCATCATGAGTGAAATGAGCTACTAGCAGTTCATATTTATATAGTCAAAGATGATATGATCTACACACATCAGCCATTGCTTAGGAATTTTCCAATGGACCATCAATCAGAAAATTTTATACCAATTGGCCAATTAGCGTTGTGTGCTATCGGATCTTTCTCGTACGGAATAGGATCTCTGTTTCTGTTGCCTGTGTTGGGTGAGGTGCATCGGATACATTGCCGATTGGTCGATTAAATAAAAAAATTTTTGAGAGGTGGTTCATTAGAAAATTCCTAGGCATCAGCTGATGTGATCCGTCCGTGATGTGTCCGATTGAAAATGTGCGCATCTGAGACGCTCCCTGTATTTTTCATTGTGCATCCAGCTTAATGCCTTGTGTCCACGATGTTAAAAATCTAGAGATTCCATCCGAGATTTCGGACCGATTTTTTAACATCGTGGACGCAAGGCTTAAAGCAGCGTCTGACTACAATCAATTCTTCTATAAATTGATTATGATTGGCCAATTTCTTAAGTCTTGCGTCTTAAAGTCTCATTGTAGGACGCCATGTAAGAAATTGACCAATTATAATCGAATATGAAACGAATAATCGATTATGATTGGTTAATTTCTTACGACTTAAAGATTAAATACTTATTGTGGACCGACACTAATGGCTCTCGCACATTAAACATAACGAGCGACGAACGATGAGCGATGTCCAATGAGAGCTTTGCATTTTTAAACGTCACATCCGAAAGCAAAGCTCTCATTGGACATCGCTCATCACTCGTCGCTCGTCGCGTTCAGTGTGCGAGAGCTATACACGCGAAAATGCACCGTGTGTATGTGGACTTACTCATTTTACCTCCCCCTCCCCCCCCGGCCACTACGTCGGTAAGGCAGACCG